CAGTATTGCATATGAATGAAAATGCATTTATAATTTAAGAAACAAACAAAAATGGGACTCTAGGTGGTTCCCCAAACAAAAATGGGACTCTTGGGGGTTCCTCAGATCCTTCCAGAGAGTCACTGGAGTCCAACTATTTTCATAATAATATTAAGAGTTACTTACCTTTCTTTCATGAAAATAATATATATTTTACAAATTTCTCTGGTTTCATTTTTAATATGATAACTATTAATATTTGTAATCCATATATCCTGAGACCAAAAAGTTTGAGAACAGCCAATCTGTCATATCAGCAGATATTTGTTAAGCACCGTTGTATTTTCAGGTGTAGAACTAGTCCCTTGGGATAAGATACAGACCCATTTCTCATAGTCCAAATGTGAAGACAGACTTATAAATATAGTTGGGAGCAATGACTCACAGATAATACACATCATGGAAGTCCACAGAAAAGATACCTAACCAATGGTGATTACGGTGCTTATGGAAGGAAAGATCATTGAGAGGTTGGAGCCACACCTGCTAAGTCCTGCTAGAGCAGGCAACCACTGCAGCACTGATATTAAAGATCAGTAATAAGGACTGTGGTAGGAAGCAGCAGGAACAAAGACAGGGCAGCAAAGAAGAGTGCAGTGTGTTCAAGGAAACACAAGCAGGTCTCTGTTACTGCATGTAATGTAGATCTTAAGGAAGAGTAGAAAAGAGGAGATGGCAGGGACCAGATTTTAGCAGTTTTCTGTCTTTTAGGGGTTCGGACTTCATCCTTATGAGGATGGAGAGCTCCACCTGACTCATGAAGCTTTTATAGATACAATTCAGATGATAGAAGTTAGTCTTTGACTTGTATTCTAACAATAGATCCCTTCTGTTAACATTTGTTGATAGACAGATAGCAAATGGGGCTCTTAGTAGGTTTCTGTGGCAATAACCTCTTGGGAGCTTCAATGCAGGTTATGAAGTATATGTGTAAATTGGGTCACTGTCCTCTCTCTGTAGAATTTAAAGATTTCTACAGTGAATGTGTAGAAAATAAGCTTCTGCATGTCATGATGTAACTTTGTTTTTCTGCCTACCTTTCTATCACTGACTTTCTGATGTACTATCTCCTTTGTGATGTCCATATATTGATTCATATTTTTGCTTCATAATCGAGTGTTTAGTATGTTTTCCTTTCTGCTAGTAAACACTGTTTCCTCCTGTGCTCCTATTGTCAGGTGCTGTGAGTCAGTTCTGACTCATTGTGACCCCATCCATGTACAACAGAATGAAATACTGTCCAGTCCTGCTCCCGTTAGGCTTTGTGAAACTTTGAAAAAATATGTACAAGAATAAACTGTAGTAAAAGTTGTGTTACTCCTAATTGAAAACACATTTTTGTAAGTTTATGGTCTTTCTCAGAAAAACATTAAACATCATTTTTCTGAGACAGAATTTAGCCATAGCTTTTTTAAACATAGTAGTGGGCTTAATAGGAAGAAATTGTGTGGTAAATATTCACTATACATTTAGTTCTAATAGGCAGTAATAATGATGTGTTTTCTTGTTAAAGATAGTAAAAATGAAAGGTATTTCCATTTTTTGAAAGGCTTCAGAACTTCTAGAACTAAAAGCAGTATATCCAGGAAAGGAAAAAATGATAAACAATAAATAAATCAGGGAGAGGTGACTCCAAGTCTTTAAATCCTCAAATCCACTGCCATTGAGTTGGTTCTGACTCATAGCAATAGAACAGAGGAGAACTGTCCCATAGGGTTTGCAAGGCTGTAAATCTTTACAGAAGCAGACTACCTCATCTTAAATCCTCAACTCAGTAATGAATAACAACACATATTAACAAATCTGCATCATTTTTAAAATTTCTTTTGCAGCCATTTAAATCTAACAGTTTCTTTCAACTAACATTAATTTTTAAAAAGAGAATTTTGCTTTTTAAGACTTTGAAGTAGTTTAAATGATAAGTTCTTCACTACTATATATGGTACTAATATGAAGTTTTAGCAGAATTATTCATATTAGCCAAAAAAGTAGATACAGCCTGTGGTAGTTAAGTTTGTGTGTCAACTTGGCTGGGCCTAGTTGAGTGGCTGGGCAGCTGAATGTAGTTACTCCCCATGGTCAGATTGATAATTAACTCTATGGTGAAATCTTTTGGAGCAGCTGAGTAGCTGCTTTGGGTATGTGGTCTGCTTCCCATATATAAGAAACAGCTTTGGGAATGGTCTCTAGCCTATGGCATGCTTGAATCCTGCACGTAGCTGTGTCATTGTTCAGCAGCCTGCCATGCTCTGCCAACCTTAGGACTTTCATTGGACCTGAATGAGTGGCCTGCCATGTGGTTTGGTAACATCAGGACTGTACCATTTTATTTGTCAACCTTGGGCTTGCTAGCCTCAGCAGCCAGTAGCTGCCTGTGTGAAGAAATGCTCCTAGCTTCAGTGGGCCGGGAGAAGAGGCAGAGCTGAATCCCAAGGTCAAGGGGGTTTTACACTCCCCTGGAGCCTGGCACTTTGACCTCGGACTTCTAGCCTCCTGAACTGTAAGTGAATAAACTCCTGTTTGTTAAAGTCATCCCGTTTGTGATATATTCTTGTCAGAGAGCATCACTGGGTAACCAGAACACAGCCCAAATGCCCATCAAGTGAGAAATGGATGAATAAAATGTGGTATACCCCTACAGTAGAATATTGTTCAACAATAAAAAGAAAGTATTGATACATGTTAGAACATGGAAGAACTTTGAAAACATTATGCTAAGTGAAAAAAGTTAGTCACTAACGACCACATATTATGATTGCATTTATATGAAATACCCAGTGTAGGCAAATCCATAGAGGCAGACAATAGGTTAATGGATGCCTGCTAATGGGTATGATTTAGGGGTGGAGGGGTGATGAAATATTCTAAAATTTATTTTGGTGATAGTTGCACAACTCTGTATATACTAAAAACCAATGAATTATATACTTTAAGTGGGCAAAAGGTATGGTGTGTAAATTACATTTCAGCAAAGCTTTTATATATATATATATTCTTTCTATCTGTCTGTCTGTCTACCAAACAATCGAGTGATTATATGAATATGAAAAGTTTGAAAATGCATGTTGTAGGAGGTGGTAAAAGGCCAAAGACTGTATTGCACAGTACATCTCTAACCCAAACTATAACATAAAACTGCTTCACGATTTGAATAGGATTTTTTTTTAACCCTCAGAAGTAAAAATCTCATATCTTGTGGCCATTTTAGTAATACTTAATTTCTGTTTTCCTCCTTTCTGAAAAAACTTTGGAAAACCTTAGAGCTCATTTCAGATTGTCTAACAAGCTCTTAGAGGCCAGCACTAGTGCAGCTGATGAGTCAAATGGACACCCATACTGGCCTTTTTCCCCAGGCTATACTTACATGAGAGCAAATGGCACCAAGACAATGCTTCCAATGTATCAGGCACAAAGAAGCTTTTCTTCCTGATTGACCATGTGTGTCTTCTTGTCCTAGCCATGTCTTTCTTTCTTTGGACAATAGGAGGAAAATCTCCCAACCATGACTGCTGAAATTCCTTTCTTTCCTTCTCCCAGTATCCTAGGGTATGAGTGTAGGCAAGACCTTTGTTCTCAAATCAACTCTTTTCATCCCCTTCCCTTCTTCATTCTTTTCAGGTCTCTAAGCCTTAGAGCAAAAGGTTGTAACAGTGAGCTTTCCTGATTGTGCATTCTTTCAGGGACACACACTAGACAGCTGGGAGTACAGATAGTTTCTTAGTTCCGGTGCTTGTCTAAATGATCTCCAGGTGAGTCGGTGAGACCTTAAGCGCAACTCTAACCATCCATTTGGTTAATGCAAAGGGTAGACTGTGGATTTGGAAACCGTTTGAACTCTTACACAGCTCCAGCAGGGGAGATCTAAAGTCTGCTAGGCAGTTCCTGAAAAGACTCCTATCTACAAACAAACATTTCGTTCCAAGCTAGGTCATTTTCTCTCCTTTTCCCATTAAAGAGTAGTCTGAATATGCAATCTTCATTTCCATGCCCTTATTTCCACTTCTAATTTAGCTTTCATTTCCATCGATTTACCCAATCTACTGATTAGAACTGTATTCTTAGGATTAAGGGCCTACTTCATGCCAACACCCTCAGTCATCATTCTTTCTGACTTTGTGATAACATTCTTGACCACTCTCCTTCTCAGGACTCTCCCTTCCTTTGATGAGAACTCAATTGATGCTTATTGGATTCAACTACATCTTCTCACATTGCAGCATCCAGACTTACTTCTCACCTTTTCAGTTGATCCATCTTGGTCTTTTGCAATTAACTACATATACCTCTTATCCCCTAGCTGGAGTGTTCCCTCAAGACTTTACATGCCAGTGCATGACCGACTACATCTGGTTTATATTTAGACCTGTGTCCAGGGTGGTAGGTGTGTCCACCTGGTTAATGATACCTGCAGAGAATGCATAATTGGACCACTCCTGTCATTGAGTGTGACGTGACAGTCATCATAAAAATCAATCAACAAAGTTTTTCAACAAGTTAATAGCACAGAGCTTTTCAGCCCTGCAGTAACTTAAGCAAGTAGTTCTTCAGACTTTAGAGAGCTAAGAATCATTTAATAGATTTCTGCTCCCAATCCTTGCAAACCTGTGATTCAGACTTTCTTGGAGTGGGACTCAAGAATCTGCATTATTAAAAAAACACCCAGTGATTCTGATGCAGTTGGTCTAGGCATCATTCTTGGAGGAAACAGTGCCACAGCCTCCTCTCCTTTATTGGCTATGTCTCTAGAGAATAAGAAGGAACTAATAGTAATTTGCAAAATGTAGTATAACTTGGTCTATGACCTGGAATATATCTATTTCTGAAATAACAGTACTCACCATGTTGTGTTTGTTCATCGTTACTCTGGGAGCAAATACATTCATTACCATTCTTTATAATGAAGACTTAAGAGAGGGAGGCACCCTGCCAGTTCTCACTTTCAGTCTCTTTCCACCTTAAAGGAGTTTTAGAATCATCTGTAAGAGACCTGGAATCCAGAGGCACCCAAGGGAATTAGCAACAAGAAATATATAGTAAGTAGGTTAGTTAATTAGGTTATGGTGTTAGTATTGTTTTGCATTGTTTAAGACACTCCACTATACCTATATTTTGGGGGAGACAATAGATACCCTCTGATAATTTGTCTGCTTTCATACACTGCCTGCTATCTACAAGCTTTCTCTGTGTTCCCCTGTCTGGGGAAAGCCCCTTAGAATCACATGAATAGCTGCCAGACTATAAAGCTGGCTTCTCCAACTTGGAATTGCAAGGCGTGAAGGACTAGTTTATTTCTAGCTACAGAAGCAGACTCTTCAGCCTAATGAATAGAACTAATCCAGAGGAACCAGCGTTCTTTTCAAACAGCAACTCCTTAGGAAAGTTGAGAAAAAGAAGCTTGAAGTCAGAAGTCCAGTTGTCTATAGCTCACATCTGCCTTGGGAGATATCTCCTTCTCACACTGTGTCTCACTGACATGATGTTGCTTTCTCCTGTTACAAGTGACCTGGGGTGCAGTGTGAGGTCACTAATCCATAAAATTAATAATGCAATAGTGGTTTTCAGTTCAGAGGAACAACTTGTCTACAACTTGTATTTTTAAATATTGTATTAGGAGGAAGTGTTTTGTATTTGTGAATATGTGCTTCTGTAGCTACCTTTATGCATCTATGAACATTTTGATGTATCCTAATTGTTTATAGTACTGTGGATTCCATTTACTGCTAGGTGATGATGTGAATATTTGGGATGCAAAATTGTGGTTAAGGAGGCATTGGATTCAGTCATTGTGACAGGATTTCAGCTCTAGTGAGTAAAATTTAATCGTTTACCCTCTGTTTTCCATCTTTTAAAATAAAAAGCTTTTGAATATGCTCTAACATTGTGTTCCTACTGTGGCTAGCCTCAGAGTTTAGAGGATTTTTTTGAGTGTTGGTTTTATACTCTAAATCAAGAAGAGGATTCAAACAAAACCAAACTCACTGCCATCGAGTTGGTTCTGACTCATAGTAACCCCTTCTTGGGTTTCCGAGGTGGTATCTCTTTGGAATTAGATTGCCCAATCTTCTTTGCAAGGAGTGGCTCGTGGGTTTGAAGTGCCAGCATTCTGATTACAGTCAAATGCCTTAGGCCCTATGCCAGCAAAAATTATTTAATCAGGATAGTTTGGTTAAATGTCTACAAAGTTGTCTTTTTGGGTGTTGTGGAACTCTTTGTGATTCTTTACAGAAAGTCCAGGGTTGGTTAGATGTGTCTCTAATGTCAGAAATAGTCTTTTGGCTGCCTCCATACTAAAAACCAAAAACAAACTCACTGCCATCAAGTCGGATCCGATTCATAACAACCCCTCTTTGGGTTTCCGAGGCCGTATCACTATGGAAGTAGATTGCCCAACGTTCCTTCCAAGGAGTGGCTGGTGGATTTGAACCACTAGCCTTCTGGTTAGCAGTCAGATGCCTTAGGCACTATACCACCAGCCTGAAAGCACCCTAGTGCTGACGTCTCTTTGGTAGTTGCAAGTAGAAGACAAAAAGATAATCTCTTTGTATCTTGGATATTGGGAAACCTCAGTAAAAATTCCCATCTCTCTTGAGGGCATCAGGATGTCAGGCTAGTTCTGCGCCACCAGAGCTCCTAGTTTTGAGGAAAGGAGAATAGAATGATGGTGTGAGACAAAATAGATCAGGTCAAAGAATCCCTTATTTGCTTCTTCCTCCCTTTCTCCAGAACTGAAGATGGCAATTTCCCCATACTTTTTTAATTCTTTCTTTTAATGAGTGTTTATTTTTTCATAATCATGTGATAAGCAGTTTATGTGTACCAGAGAAATTACTTTGATTCCCAAGAGAGATAATGGGAGAAGGCCTTGCTACTCAAAATGTGATCATGGATCAGCAGCATCAATTGCTGTCAAGTCAAGTCTGACTCATGGTGACCCCATGTGTGTCAGAGTAGAACTGTGCTCCATAAGGTTCCGATGGCTGGTTTTTCCAAAGTAGATCACCAGGCTTTTCATCCAAGGCCCCTCTGGGTGGACTTGAACCTCCAGTTTTTTGTTTAGCAGCTGAGCGTGCTAACCGTACCACCTATTGTTGTTAGGTGCTATCGAGTTGTTTCCGACTCATAGCGACCCCATGCACAGCAGAACAAAACACTACCTGATCCCGTACCTGCTCCATGATCCCTGCTGTACTTGAGCCCATCGTCGCAGCCACTGTGTCAATCCAGTTCATTGAAGGCCTTCCCCTCTTTCGTCAACCCTCCACCCTACCAAGCATGATATTCTTCCAGGGAATGGTCCCTTCTGACATGACCAAAGTAGGTGAGATGAAGTCTGGCCATTCTCACTTCCAAGGAGCATTTCAGGTGCACTTCCTCCAGGACAGATCTGTTAGTTCTTTT